CCCCCGCGCTGCCCCGCGCCCCGGTCACCGCGTCGACGCGCGTCCCTCCTCCCCTCGGTGCCGGGGACCCGCGTCCGCGGGAGCCGCCCCGGCCTGGGCCGGGAGGGGGCGCGCTGCGTCCGCGGGAGCCCGGATTCCCACCCGAGCTGCTCCCGCCGGGGCCGCGCCCCCCTTGTCGGATTCCCTCCGCAGGGGTGAGGGCCGGGGTCCGGATTGCAGGGTCCGCTTAGGCCCGGCTTCCTTTCGGACTCCCTCCCTCGCCCTTGCTTTTTAAATTAACAGGCGCGCCAAGGTGTCCACTGTGGGAGAGGGGCGGTGGAGGACAAAGCAACTGGCTTTCGGGGTTTCTGGTGTAACCGGTTCGGGAAGGTCTCCGCGGCTCCACCCGCGCTGGGAGCCGGTCCTGCAGACCTGGCTGTTCCCGGGGAGCGGCGGGAGCGCCGGCCAGCACCCTAGGTGCGCTCCGCGAAGGCGGGAGGGAGCCTGCCCTCCCAGGGCGACGGTGGGCTGGCGCCTGCCGGCTCCAACCTCGCCTGTGTCTGCTGGCACCCCCTGGGCCCAGGGCTCCATGCGCGAGTTGGAAAGGGGCCCGGCCAGAGGCGTGAGGCCCTCCCTACTCACACCTAGACGGTGTCCAAGGTGCCAGACAGCCATCAGGGTCCCTCGCAGGAGGAAGCAGATGGCGCCCCAGTCGTGCCTGGAGACGATCTTCAAGTGTCCTTGTTTACTGACCTTTCCTTGAAATGACCCCCAAACCTCTAAGTCGTTCCAACTAGAACTTTCAGGCTGGGGAGAGGGAGGTGAAAGGGGGACAGAGAAATGGGGGGGGGGGGGTACAGCCACAGGACTCTAGTGCCTTTAAAACAAACGTTTTGTTAGATTCATTCTTTATTTTTTTCTAAGAGATTTATTGAGATGGAAATCACATACCATAAAATCCACCCGTTTAATGCGTACCATTCAGTGGTTTTTAGTATATTTACAGTTATGCAACCACCACTACAATCAACCTTAGAGCATTGTTATCACCTCTCCCCAACCCCCAAACCCCAAATTCTTTAGCTGTCTCTCCCCAGTGCCCCATCCCCAGCCCTAGGCAACTGCTAATCTGTCCTCTGTCTCTGTAGGTTTGCCTTTTCTGGCCTTTCAAATAAACGAAATAGTGCTTCGTCTTAATCTGTGAGGCTGCCGTAACAAAACACCGCAGACTGGTGGCTCATAAACAACAGAAACTTCTTTCTCACTGTTCTGGAGGCTGGAAGTCACAGATCAGGACGCCAGAGAGTTACCTGAGGCCCTTCTGGTGGCAGACTGCTGCTGGTGTCCTCACAAGGTGGAAGGAGCAAGGCAGCTTTCTCTGGCCTCTTTTCTAAGGACACTAACCCCGTTCCTGAAGGGTCTGCCCTCCTGACCTAATCACCTCCCAAAGGCCCCACCTCCTAATACCATCACACTGAGCATTTGGTTTGCAAAATGGGAGTTTCGGGGAGACGCAAACCTACAGACCGTAGCAGAGAGCACGTGGTCCTTTATGACGGGCTTGTCTCACTCGGCAAAATATTTCAAGTTTCATCCATTCGTGTTGTAGCATGTTTCAGTACTGCATTCCTTTTTGGGGCTGACAAATATTCCACTGGAAAATATTTTTCATCGGTGGATGGGCATTTGAATCGTTGCAAACCACCCTCCTCTAGAAGGCCCTCTAAAGGCCCTCCTCTAAAGGCCCTGAGCAGAGTCCCTGTCTTTACACATTAAGTCTTTCATGATCTCATTATTTTTCTCTTCCAAAGCACATTTCTTTAATAAGCTAAAAACGCAAGAGTAAGCCAGCCCCTGGCAATCACTAAGTTACTTTCCATCTCCGTGGCTCTGCCTATTGTGGGCATTTCACATAAGCGGAGTAGAATGTGTGTTTTGTGGCTGACTTCTTTCTCTTAGTGTAATGTTTTCAAGAGTCATCCGTGTTGTAGCATGTGCTAGTATTTCGTTCTTTTTTATTGTCGGATAATATCCCATTGTACGGTTCTGCTTGCAAAGCAATTGATGTTCTCTTTTTTCTTTTCTCCCTCCCTGCCCTAACAAGTGTGCAGTGGCCTGTGGATAACACCAAATATGTTATTATGCCGACCTAAGTTTGAATTATTTAGTGCAGGCTAAATAATGAGTTTTGACTGTTTCTTAAAAGACAGCCCGTTGCTTTTAACCTATATAACGTGTGATCCACTGCGTAGGTGACTTTGCAAAGTCGGGAATACAATTTCGCTTTGCAGAAAATTTTGAGAGAAAAAGGAAATAGTTTACATTGTTGTTTAAGAAATCTGTTGTTCTTCTCCTCTGCAGAGTACCTTTTACAGTTCTCAGTGCCTTTTCTAAGGGGGGAGCCTTTTATTTATAGAAAAACAGATGTTCATTTAATTTGGAGACGTTCATTTAATAGGGTGTGGAAGGTACAATTAATGAAGGTAACAGCAGGTGACTCTGCTGAGTTATTTATAGTTATAAGGTGATAATTAGTCGTGTAAAAGAACAGAAGGAGGGAAAGAAAAGGATTTATTTCCAAATAATAGGATTTCAATTAGAACGAATTTAATGACATTCAGAAGGCTCAAGTTTTATAGTCATATGTCAGAATAAGCCAGCTAGTTTTCTTCTTGATTAATTATGGTAAAGTTGTTCTATTAGCTCATACATAAAGATCTCATTTTTAAGCAATCACGACACCCAGTGTGGGGCTCGAACTCGCAACCCCAAGATCAAGAGTCGCATGCTCCATCGACTGAGTCAGCAGGGCGCTCCTATTAGCTCATATTTAATCAATGTTGGTATGACACTGTGAAGGAGATGTTCTAGTTAAGCTTTGGGGCACAGGTGGCGCCCCGTGGCTCGGTTCTACCAGCAGGTGTCTCCCTTCAGCAGGGCGCACGGGGAGAGAGCCCTGCGGAGCCCTGCAGCATAATCACAGCCAATTCTCATTACTGGCAGCAGCTTTGTTCTATAACATCATCGCGAACATTGAATTACTGAATACTACACTCTTGCTTCTAGAGGAAATACAGAGTTAGGTTCCTGTGAGCCTGTGGTCCCTTGTCTTCTAGGTGTTCTTGTATAAAGATATCTTATTTAATAGAGATTGTTGATTCATTAACACTGAACTCACAACCAACAACACTCGAACTCATGCCTGAATGAAGCTTGTATTAACACGCATACTGCCTCCAAAAGGCACATCCCAGCTTTCCTGCACGGAGGCACAGGAGACGGCACTTCAGCACTGTGTTTGGGGCCATTTTAAGCAACAAAATCCACAAGAAGCACAAAACTGTGAAAAACATAGCACTACCCAGGCTGCAGAAAGGACACTTGTTTACTGCGTGAGAGCTGAAACCAGAAGGCTGAGCTCCGCCCTATTGGGCCTCAGCTGGGAGCGTGTGCATCCAGCGCTCCCAACTTCTCACCCCTCTCCTCTCCACGTGCGGATGCCCACTAGTGACCAAGAAAGTGCTGTGAGTATTGATTTGGGATTACAAATACATACCAACAAGTGGGTGACTGCAAATACAGAATCTGTGAATCGTGAAGATCAACTAAAGGCTTCCTGCAGTAAGTTACACGAGTAACTTCCATTCATATTTCACTGATGGAAGCAAACCATGATGAACCTCAAGGAGGTGGGAAAGGACAATCCCGCTGTGTTCTCAAAGAACTCAAATAGTTGAGAGAAGCACTGATGTTCATTATTGATATCATTGGGTCGTTCACTGATTGTTCCATACTTGGGGCAGATTTCACTCCCAAAAGAAGTTGCAATATCATCTCCTATCCAACATGCCGTTCTTATCATGTGACTTTGATGCCTCCCCACTCCCACCCCCCACCCCCCCACCAAGAGATGGAGGTCTTGTGCTTCCTTTTCTTGAGACAAGACAGGTTTGTGAGTACAGCAGAAGTAACACTATGTGACTTCTGAGGCTAGATCATGAAGGACTTCCACCTGATTCTTTCTTTGGGCCAGTTTCTCTTGTAATTCAACAACCAGGCTGAAGGGAAGCCCAGGCAGCTCCACGAAGATCCATGCATAGGTTCCAAGCTGTCTGGGCTGACAGCTGGCATCACCCTCAACCCCTATACATGTGGGTGACCGCGTTTTCAGCCCATGCTGCCTCCCCACCATTACCACTGCATCATCTCCAGACGTCCCTGATTTCTTCCAAGCCGAGGCCCTGGAGATCGTGGAGCAGGCACAAGCCGTCCCTGCAGTACCCAGAGAATCTGTGAGCACAATTAAATGGTTGTTTTGTTTTTTTTTTATGTCACTAAGTTTGGGGTGATATGTTTTCCCGGGGAATAACTGAAAGAGTACCTTCTATGTATAGTGCTGTAGTAGATGTTGGTGGGTTTTAGTGATGAGTAAAATTTGGTCCTAGTCTTCACATATTTGATGGTCCGGTCACTGTTTGTGCTGGGGCTACTCTTACACCCATAATGTAATTAAATATTTGGTCTTTTTTAGTAATCATTATCTGAAATATGGTAACTGTAAAATGTGTAGCGACTTGCTAGTCTAACAGGAAATGTAACGTTTCCATTAGTCGGG